TCATCAGCCGTTTCTGTGGTACTACGCCCCCGGCTACCAAAAGACGATGATCAGGTTTTGTTCGCCGACTTTTTGCAGCGATGCCCAAAAATCCTGCGCAGCCTTGGGTACCCCGATCGACTACCGACATAGCACCAGTTGAGGCAGGGGGTCATGTTTACTATGGTTTTTAACCCTCCTTCCTTTTCATCCGGACTTGAAACCGGCAACGGCGGAGTTCAAAAAGCATGAGATGGTTAATTTTGTGCAACATGTGAAACCTTAAAAGCCTTTGTTGACCTGAGTTATTTTACCTGTGCAGATACAGATCTAGCTCATTTTTGATTTCAACCTCATAATCTTAATCGCTGCTTTTATAGGCCAGCATATTAGCAGTTAGAAAACGGCGATCTAATTTTTCAAATTTTCAGAAGTTTACTTTCTCATGGAATTTGTGTGAACAGGTGTTCAACAAAATGAAAACCACCGTTTTAATATACTTTGCTACTCTAATATTCCTTCTCATCGTTGACTCCATCTACGCACTAATTTTTTATTTTGCGCAGATATTGTTCAAATCGAAAACAAAAACGAAACTTGTTAGCAGAAGTTGCCAGTTTCCGCATTCTAAAAAGGGCTAACGATCTAACACATATTGCTTTCCCTGATTTGATTTCTACTGTCGTGTTGGAAGTACCATTTTAGAGCAGAGTTGTTTGATATTTATTGTACTTCTAGTGGCACATTAATTGAATTGTTGGCTTTTCGACATCGACACATTGACTTATGTCTGATGCCGGTGAAAATTCCTAAGCAACAGTCTGTGAAAAGCGTTACTCTGTCATTCAGTTATTTTTTACCTAAAAATTGACTGCTTAATTGACATTTTGCAATTCCATGTCATTCACCGATAAGGCTGGCATGAGGAAGTGATGTGATATCAAACTGGCAGTTACCTTTAAAACAAGGTTGTAGAATAATACCTGCGAGCTAAACACGTTCATTTACCGTAAGATGTATGTCTCGCGTCTCTTGACGACTTCATAAAATAGTTGTTATATTTTGCTTAGACTGTGGATGTTCTGACCTTTGAATAATAACAAATTATAATCCTATTATGAATTTCAAGATGTTTTGCATATGCTGTGTGTAATTGTCGTCTGGAGCACAGTGTTTAAAGTAGATGTGGCAAAAATTTGGTTTTTGTGGTATTAAAACCTAACCGTAATTGGCTCTAAAATACTGTAGAGGATATAGCCTTATTGAGCAGAATACCATCTGCGGGTTTGCATAATAAAAAACTATTAGCGATGCATTGGTCTACATTACATTAGTCTAGAGGGTAAGGTAGTTGTTTTCGATAGTTATTCGCAGCGGTTAGGTTTTGAGCTTTGAAACGTTGAGCAGTGAGTAAAAAATCATATAACGTACTGAGAGAAATCAAATGGACGCGAAGTTCAGATAAGTTTCAAAAATAACAAAAATTCTGAATGTGTGATGGCAGTCATTCTGAA